TTTCAGCAGGGATGTGCACAGCTGTGGAGCATGGCTGGCTGCCATGGATTTTAAACTGTAAGGAGCAAATAACAGTCACGAGGTAGAAGCCAGTTGTTAATCCTCTGGTTTATGAGTGGTAGAACACTTCCTTTTATCACCCACATTGTCTCTTCCCTCATCTTCCCTTCCTACCCTTCCCTCACTATGGATGTTGCCGTTGCTTCCCTGAGCCAGATCACAAAGGCCAGGCTGCTTTAGAGCCTTACTACTGTTTTAAATACAAGTTATGCAACAGTGTTCTCTAAGTTTGGGTATCCATGATGTTCTGGATTGTGGCTTGTTCTGCAGAGACCTTAACATACTTGGTCTCTCTGCAAAATCTGGGGTGCTTGGTAAGAAGCCAGCCATGGTTTTACATGTAGCTTGGAATAACAGAGCTGTTTCTTGTAACCAATAATCTCTGCTTCCTCCTTGCACTGAAATTAAATTGGACACTGAAATCCTAGTCTAGTCCTTTTTTTTCCTTTGTTTTGTTTTCTCCTGGATTGCTGGACCATTCTTCTGCACCACTGTCATGTTTTATCAGGAGTAGGTAAGAGCTTGATCTTTCAGCAAAACATGAGCCAAGTTCCCTGGGATCATCTCATTCCCACAGATGAACCCAGTACTGCTGCTTCAGGGCTGTTCTGCACACCTGTAAGCCATCCCTCACTCTTCAAAAGAAGCATCCAGAAGAGGCATGAAGTAAAAGGTGCAGTGGAAAAACAAAAGTTTACTAGCATGCAGTGAAGAACCCTGAGGAATTTGATGCTGCCAAATCTAGAGGTATCTACTCATGTGAAACAGCCCTGTTTCACTTCCTCTGTTGATCTGGAGTGTGAGCCCCTGGGAAAGAATTTTCTGATGGTAAAGAACAGCAACAGAACAGAATTGAGACGACATACCAGGGATGGTGGTAGAAGCAAGAGCATTGGAGAATGCTGCAATATTTTTTAACATGTGATCTGCTCATTTGAAACCATGGTCTGAATTGTGCTTCTGGCATCTGTAATGAACACTTGGGGTCAAAAGATTACCCAGTGGTTTCTGCAAATTGTCATTGCTCCTGATGTCCATCCCCGTGTCTAGAGCAGAAACAGCTGCTGGACCAAGGCTGGTGAAGGCAGCATTGACCAATTGCCACTGTTACAAAGGTGCTTCAAGGCTCCTTCCTTTGCCTGGCACCTGTATGGCAGGTGTGGATGCTCCGTGTGTGCTTTCAGGAGCAGCCAGTCCTATGGAGAACAGGCCCCAGGGACAAGTCAGACCCATCCTGATATCTTGGGAGAAATCACCTTTGGCCTGGGCTTGCCTTGGCTGTGGGACCCCAGCCAGCAGCACCCAGAGCTCAGTGACACAGCTGGATGTTGAGCATCCCGTGACAGTCCCGTGCCATGGCTGTGTTGGTCTGGGCTCCATCTTCCTCCCCCTGTATGGAGTCATCTCCCACCCAGCCTAGGCAGAGATGATATGAAGCCAGTCACCAATGCAAGACTCTAGTAAAAATTTATCTTTACTCAGTGCTAGACAAGAGCCCCTGGGCTGGAGGTGGCTCCATGGACCCCCTTGGCTTATGGCTTTTAGGTTTCAGACCTTTTAATTCTGTCCCAAGATGCTCTTTCTCCTTCTGCCTCTTCTGCTGCCAGCAGCTCCCCAGGGCAGGGGAGGAAGAGAAGGTTGTGCAGGGCAGACCAGCCCCTCACCCTGCTCTGCCCCTTGGCACCCCAGTTTGTCCCTCCTGCTCTGCTCACGCCTTGGTGTTGGCGCCTGTGGCTGCGAAGCCGACGGGCTGGTAGCCCGGCTTGTCATCCTGCTTGCGGTAGTACATGCGCGTCAGCACCGCCAGGATGAAGGTCTGCGGGATCAACAGCTGCACGTTCATCTCTGCAACAGGAGAAGGGGCTTTTGAAGCTGCCCTCGGCCACCATGCCCTCCACCATGTGTGCTGCTCTCTCATCTCCCTACTTACGCTGCGACCTGGCCTTGGAGGAGAAGGGCGGCGAGCAGGCAATGCTGCCGTTGTTGGCCAGGATGCTGAAGATGGCAGGCTGCAGCGCCGTCAGGAGGAGCAGCATCTGCAACCAGCAACCCTCCAGTGGTGAGGGCCGTGCTGCTGTCCAGCTCTCAGCCTTCACCTTCCCTGCTGTCCTGCAGCCAGCGGGGCTCTCACCCAGCAGTGGCTCCTACCCAGCATCTTCCCTCGTGCTGCCTCACCCGTCAGTGCTGCAGAACCCCCTCACCTAGGAGGGAGCTGGGCAGGACAGGGACTCACCTGGAAACAGGTGAACTTGGCCTGCATGTTCTGCTCAGCCAGGTGCAGCCGGGCCTGCCGGAAGAGGATGCCCAGGCCCCACAGCCCAAAGAGGGCAGAGACACCAACCAAGGTGTTGATCCAGAGGGACACACTCTCCGCTGAAATCTGAGGGGGACACACAGAAAACAGTACTGGGCTGACAAAGTTCAGGTGGAGGCTTCCTGTCTAGGTCATCGACCCGCCCATCCCTGTGCTCTGGCACTCACGTCAGCGGGGTTGTAATTCCCATCGGTGGCCAGGATCAGTCCCAGGAAGACAGCAATTGCCTTGAAGAGGGCGTACTGGAAAGTCCCTAGGATCATCAATTTAAGCTTTTTCCTGGCGTGGTGAAAGAAACTGGTAGCATTCTGAAGTCCCCAGGTCCCTGCCCAGGGAATTCTCTTCCAGCCCAGCAGAAGCATGGGGTGAAAGCCCTCCAGGGCAGAGGTTTATCCCAGCTCCCCCTCACCTGCTCATGGTGATTCGGGGCAGGCAGGGGCAGCAGCAGCAACAGGGCCCAGTGCTGACCACCATGGGCACATCCTTCAGGGTGCTGAGCAGTGCTTCCTTCCCCCCAAAGCCCTCCACCATGACCATCATCAGCAGGTAGAAGCAGACAGCGAAGTATCTGGGGAGGAAGAGGAAGGCAGGTCAAGCCCTGTGGGCTCCATGGTGCCTGTCCCAGGGTGGGTGATACTCACGCCGTGGTAGCCATCTCCACCACCATCATGGAGCGCGGGAACCACAGGCCAAAGCAGCTGACCACTGACACAACCTGGGGGACACATGAGCTTGGCACACTGTGGGCTGGCACCCCTTGGGTGGCCCTGGCCCCCCAGGGTGATGGCCCCCACAGCCCAGCTCACCGTAGGGGCTGAGCTGCTCCAGCAGAGGGTCTTCATCTTGATAGGGCAGCGGATCTTGCGGAAGAGGTACGAAACCTCTTCAACGTAGATCACAACCGACAGCAGTGTCATGATGGTGCAGAGGCCCAGGATGATGAGTTGGGCCATGTCCAGCTCTGCCAGTGAGGGGTGAGAAGCTGTCTTCATCCTGTCCGGTCCCCCCTGGGGCCACTACCGAGGGAGCTGCCCCTCGAGCCACCACTCCCCAGGTCTAGGGAGCTCTGTGCCACGCCCTGGACATGCCTGTCTGTGCCAGAGCTGGCCCTTCTGTGCCACTGTTCCCTGTCCCATGACACCTGCCCCGGTGCTGGCCCTTCCTGGGCTGTCCCCATCCCTACATGTGGGACTATGGGATGGGAGGCTAAGACCCTGGCAGCAGCCCAGTTTCTGACTTCTAGGGCTGCTCCATGCCTGCACTTGCCTCGGCCACCCTCCCACCCTCATCCCTGTCCTGCTGCCCCCAGCGACAACAGGAGGGTCCTCCCCGCCCCGTCCCCCCACCTACGGTGCAGCAGCTGCCGGGAGGTGGGCGGCAGGGAGAAGCAGGCTGCCGGCACGCTGAAGTTCCTGATCAGCATCTCCACCAAAGGGCGGGAGAACCTGCGGAGCAGAACCGGGAGTGCTGCACGGGGACACGGGGACACCCAGCCCCGCAGGGTCCGAGCAGTCCCTTGGCTGGTTTGCCTCACCACCAAGCGCCTCCCTTCCTTTACAGAGGGAACGAATCGTCCAAAGTTCCGATCCGAAAAGTTGGATTTGCCCGGCTGCGAAGCGGCACGGGAGTCTCGGCACTCACCTGGGGTCATCTGCCAGCTCCCAAGCGGGATCCATCCTGTCCGGCTCCTCGCTGGCTCCGTCCCCGTGGCTGTGGGGCTGCTCGTCACCGCCTGCCTCGGCTCCCCTCGCCGGCCCACGGGGTCAGAGTCCCCAGGGCAGGGACCGCGGGACGATGCCGCGCCTCGTTCCAGTTTAACCAGAGCCTCCCTCCCTCTCCCGCAGCTGCGGGCACCCATTGGCGTGGCCCCACGCCGTCCCGGCCCACCCAGTGCTTTGGCCACCCGGTTAACGACCCGGGTGCCGGGAAGGCAATTGTCACCGGCACTCCTGCGTGTCCCAAGGCCTGGGGCGCGGGGCACCTGTGTGCGGTGACAGCGCTGCGCCCCGGGGATGGGCTGCGGTGCTCCGGAGGGTCCGGGACGTGTCCTCCTGTCCCCTCAGCAGCAGTGCTGGAGGTGGTGCCGCGGGCCCCGGGAGCACTTTGGGTGGCCCAGCTCCAGGGAGGCAGGGGCTGAGCCCTGCACGGAGCAGCTCCCGGGGCACTAGAGGGCAGGGCTGGCCCAGCGCTCAGAGCCTGGCTGGGGACAGCAGCAGCACCCCGGCCTGGGCAGGGGACCAGGGGGCTGGAGGGAACAATCTGAGTGGGGAGCTGGGGGCTTAGGCAGGGGAGCAGCATAACTTTGTCTTAGATGGATCCCAGAATCCTGATGGGTTCCAGGGGTGTCCACGGCTCTGGGCACTCTCCCAACCCATCAAGGAAAATGAGTTCTGGTTTATACTGGGTCCCCTTGGAACTGCTACCCTTTGCCCCTCTGGCAGGGGCTTCTGCTGCAGCCAGAGTGGCACCAGGGCCTCAGATGGGTGCTCTGCAACCAGATGTAGGAGCAGGATGTTGTTATGGGAATGGGATGAGGGAGGAGGGAGTCCCGTGGGGACTCTGCATATCCGAGGTGCTGTGCACAGCTGGCCCTCTCCTCCTCTCAGCCCCGTTAACCAAGCCCTATATCCCCGTCCCTACACACTGCACATACTCTTTCCAGCCCTATATGCTGTAACCTAACCTGGCACACTGAGTGATGCACATCCAGCCCTCTGCACTCACATTCATGCACACAATTACCCACACCTTGCACCAGCAGACCCTCACCATGGCTGCTCCTGGCCCCACAGTGTGCATGGGACCAATGGGGAGCCCCCACCCAGCATCCCTGTACCACCAGATTGGCTATGGCTGAAGAAACACATCAGCTCCTGTGACATCTGTTGGCCTTTATGTGACAGTCACTGCAGGCTACGTCATGCCAGCCCTGCTGTCCTGCTCATCCACCTGGTGCTCATCCCCCTGTGGTCCATCAGCACTGGGATGATCTGCACGTATCCCTGGCCCCAGGGAAGCAGAGCCCAGCCCCAGCACGCAGCCGCACGTGCTGCACTGCCCAGACACGTGCAGGAGCCTCTTCCCCAGCCTGGCGTAGCCCCAGGGCCAGCACCACCCACGGGTGCCCACTGCAAGGGGGCACATGCCGGTCCCCTTGCCCACCACACCTGTGTCTGGCCGTCCCTGACTCATTCCTGTAGCACCATGATGATCCTTCTTGCCACTCAGGTGGTACCTGAGCCTTGCTGAGCCCTGGTCCCCTGCGTTCCCCAAGCTCAGCACCCCCCGAGGTGCAAGGTACAGCTCTGGGGCATGGAGCAACCTGCCACCCTTGAGGGGATGCAGAACACGGCTGGGCCCCAGGCCCAGAGCATTGGCAGCCCCACACATTGATGCTCTGCCTGAGTGAGCCCCAGCACACATGCACACGTGTGCAAGGAGGGCTCTGTTGCTGCACACACTCCCCTCTGCATCCCCACTGGGGCTGGATGCACCAGGGACACCCACAGCACTGACCTGCCTGCATGGAGCCCCCAGCCCCACCACCGTGCCCAAGACCACCCTGCATGGGCCAGGACACACCCACACACTGATCTGCTGTGGACAGTTATCGGGGGTCTGGGTGTCACCAGCCCAGAACTGTCCCCTGGGGACACAGAGGACTCTTCCCAAGACCACCCTGCATGGGCCAGGACACACCCACACACTGATCTGCTGTGGACAGTACAGTTATCGGGGGTCTGGGTGTCACCAGAACTGTCCCCTGGGGACACAGAGGGCTCTCGCCCCTGCAGCCCAAGGTGCTGAGCCCTCCCTGAGCCAGCAGGACAGGACGTGCCTGTTCCTTGCTTGCCTCAACCTGCCCCAGGAGCTGGCGGAAATGTGTGTGGAGAGGGGGAATGCAGAGGGATGGGAGAGCCCAGAGTCCCTCCAACTCCTCCTTTATTCCAGCTCCTATCCATGCCTGGGATGTGTGGTCCTGAAGCCTTCAAGGATCACGGCCACCCTTGTTCCCCAGTCAGTGTTCTCCACACAGGCTGCCACCAGGGGCAAAAGCTGGCAAGTGAGCATCCCCTGGCATGGGCATGGGGGACAAGAGATGGGTAAGGCTCCCACCAGTTCTACCTCAGCCCCAGACCTTCAGGACGCTCCAGGGCACAGCAGCCACAGGGATTCCCTTTCCTGCCAAAAACCCTTTCAGCAGAGAAGGAAAAAGAAACACAGAGATGGGAGCCATACACCCACCAATCTAGGGCAAGTGGTGGTTGAAGGTTTGTGGTCCACTCAGCATCAGGGTGGCTGTTTTACCCCAAGGAGCTGGCAGAGAAACCTGCAGCCGTGCTGGAAATTCTCCCCATTTGCTCATGTAGCATTTTTTTATTATTTTAAACAAAACTCTTTGACCATGGAAATCCTGCTTCACACCCCCCCCAAAAAAAAAAAAAAGCTAAGCAGACCCTCTCAGCATGCCAGCTCACCCACATTGCTGCTGTGTCAGCATTCCCCAATACTTGGAAAAGCCCTTAAAATGCAAATATTTGTATGGGGTTTAGAGAGTTTTCCACCCGTCTCTAATTCCCTGTGGTTGTGGCCAGAGGGGCTGACCTCAGTGGGCACAGCAGGCTCCCGGTGACCCCTTCTCCATGGCCAGGACATGGCAGGGAAGAAAACTCCTCATTTATATCCTTGGGAGGAGCTGGTAGGAGATCAAAACACCTTCCTTCTCATACTCTCCTCACACTATGGGGTGCCAAGCAGGATCAGCCCCCAGAGAGCACTGGCACCCCATAGCGTGGGGGGATGTCTGGCACCCACCTCTGGGGAGAACCACACTCCACAGGCACCTCTTCAAAGGGATGCCCATGCTTTGCATGGCCACAGATGACCCTGTTCCCCACACTCCTGGGGTTTAGGAGAGAGTCAGCATCCCCACCCTGCCAGTTTTCCAGCAGCACTCTGCCAAGCCACTGGTAACAGGAGGTTGGGCACAACTGGAGAAATAAATAAAACACAAAGGACTGTCAGACTTGTGAAAGAGCAGGAAAACCTTTACCAGGTGCTGGCCTTTTTGAGCCCCCCTCAGCCCTGCAAGCATCTCCCTGGTGAGGAAATTGCTGCTGAGAGTTTGGTGAAAATAGGTGAGGGATGTGCATCCTGCTGGCAGTAGTAAGATTGCTGCCACCATCTGCATTCAACGTTCCAACACAATCCACAACTGCCCAGCTCAATGGCCTTGTCTGGACCCCTGCAAATCTGTCATTGTCACAGCAACACTGGCCACCAGGCTGGAGAGGGGTCCCAGAACTTTGAGCATCCCCCTGCAATGGTCAGTGTGGGGCAGTGACAATGCCCCCAGCCCTGGCCCCAGCACAGCAGGAAGGGGCTGGCTCCCCTCTGCCCCAGGTTTGGAGCCGCCCCACTGATAGGGATGGCAGGGAGCCCTTCCCACAGCTGCCCGTAGATAAGGCCCATGTGTTCCTCACTGATTGCCCTGGAGGCAGCTGGAGGTGCAGGAGCCACCATTCCTGGGAGATATGGCCAGGAGGGGCAGTGGGGATGAGGGCAGGGGGCTGCTGCAGGGGTGTGAGACACTGGGCCCCTCTGGATCCCTCCTCTGGGCAGGTGAAGGTGCCCGGGCTGCCCTGACAGCACAGCTGGGGTGGGAGAAAGTGTGGACCCCTGGCAGAGCAACATCCCCCACAAATCCTGGAAAACACTTCCCAGTGCCTGGCAAACCCACAGGGCTGCATCATGAACTTGCTGCAAGGCAGAGTCAGGGACCCAACCGTGCCTCAGTTTCCCCAGCTGTAAAATGGGCCATGAGTCCTGCAGCATGAGAGTATAGAGGGCTCAGTCTCTCATTGCTCTGGTCCCTGGGGAAAGATCTATGCCAGGTGCTATTTAGAGACCAAGCTGGCATTTTAGAAGAGGGGGATACTGTCCTGGAAGCCAGCTGGCTGCCTCCAGTCTCTCCCTCAAGGTCACCAGGAAAAATGCTGGCCCTGGAGAGGTTTGGGGTAGCAGTCCTTCCAGCTGCAGCTTCCCCTTCCAGGCAGGGAAAACCCCTTTTCCCAGCACGAGGCAAACAGAATCATTCCTGTTAGAGACCCCAGCCCCACATCTCCTGCTGGGCCATAAGTGATGGGACACTGCCAGGAGGTGGCCGTGGGGTGAGAGTGGTGGAGGACAGCACACGGGGGAGCACAGGGCAGAGCTGGGGATTTTTGCTAACCAGAGCAGCTCACTGTTTCACCAAAAAGCCAGCCCCGGATGTCTAACCTTCTTGGGAAGCAGAAGTGCTGCAGAGGGTGTGTGGGTAAAATCTCCCCGTGCTCCAGCTCTCAGAAACACTGCTCTGCCACAGCTGGGGGACCAGCTCCTGTGCACAGCCCTGGCGACACCCCCAGGGACCCTCCTGTCCCTTCCCATAAAGGTCTGGGTGCTACCACAGATGCTGCCAGCCTGACTAGGCTGCCATTGATGCCAGGCTGGGAAGAGAAGTGAGATTGGCACAACAAGGATGTCACTGTGTCTGTCCCAGAGCACCTAAAGGGGTCACCCCACAGGGAACCAGCTTGTGAGCCCTCAGCAGCCCAGCTGCAGTTCAGGTCAGCAAGACACCTCTTCCCAAAACTGCTGAGATCATTTGACCATGTGCATATGTTCACAGAAAAGCCACACATAATGTACACACACACACCCACAAACGTGTATGTGACTTTCTGCACTATCGAGGATCTTGTACAGTACATATAAACTGTGATCAGCTGGGATGGGTGTGCCCCCAAGAGTGGAACTCTTCCCCACAGGCTGGCTTATCGCCCATGCCATAGCCTCAATCATGCTTCCCAACCATTCCTGGCCCACCCAAGGGTCCCCTGGCCCCACAGATGACCAAAGGGGCTCCCCGGGCCAGGGGGCTGCCCTTTGCAATGCCCAGCATTGCACAGCTCATCCCCCAGACAGAGAAGAGGAAGAAGACAGTGGGGCCTGTCCCTGGTTTGGGAGGAAGGGGAGCCCACCATGAGAAGAAAGAAGCCCAACAGAAGCTGGATGAAACCTTTCTATGATCTGGATCGAGGCCATCAGAGCAGCTTTGATGGCCCCAGCCTTCTCCTGTTTCAAGAGAGCCTCACAGATGGGGTACCTGATAACACCCCAGTCATCTGTCCAGCCCTTCTGGCCCCCTTTCTGTTTGCTTTTCCTCCCAGCAGTTCCATGTCCGATGGCACTGCCCTGGGCCAGAAGGGAAGTGACCAAGCTGTGGGGCTCAGATGAGGGCTTTGTGTCCTTCAAAGGGGACGAACAAACGGCCAGCAGTCCCAGCCTGGCTGGGGGGATCCTGCGGAAATACCACGGTCAACACTCTTGGGAGCTGCTTCCTGCCTGCTCCAAGGCTTTGGATGCAGAAAAGTCTTTTCCTGCCGTAAGGTAACATCTGCATTTCCAGTGGGTGTCCCAGTGACATGCCACTGGTTTCTTAGAGCCACCCCCAACCTCTGAATGAAAAGGCACCTTGTTTGAAAAACAGAGGGGCCTTTTTCTGCTACAGCTACCTAAAGCAACCACGTCACTCCTGATGTTTGCTTGTGGTGAATGACGAGGTTAACACACCCTCTGAGTGGGCTGTGAGCGTTTTCTTTGGTCAGGAGCTTTATTTTCATACTCGTCTGTCTTGCAAGAAGCTCACGGGGGAAAATGCTGAGGCTTTAAAAAGTCAGATGGACAGTAGAGACACTGTGTTTGAGGAAGGGAGGTGCTGCTCCCTGATGACCCTGAGCCTTCCCAGCTCTGTGACACTCACCCACCAGCCCCAGCCACCCCATGGGGTCACCCACAAGCACCTGAGTCAGGCACAGGGAGTAGTCCCACCTGCTCGGGGAAAGCCTTCAGCCCTTGGTGGGTCTTCTTCAGCTGTCCTCGAGTGATTTTGCCTCCCATCGCAGGTGGGAAAGCATCCCAAGTACAGCTCAATGGGAAAAAAGAAAAACACCTTCCCTGCCTTGCCTGTCACCTCTACCAATGCCAGATGCACACCAAGGTGCTGGGGAAGCACTCCCACCTGCTGCCTGCTCCCTCCTGCCTTGGCAGGCAAGGGGGCAGAGGGATGGGAGGGGTGGACATGCCTGGAGAGGTGTTGGTGCATGTGTGGTAGGGGTGTGCATGTGCATTACACGTGTGTGCAATGTACCTGTGTGGGACACGTGGGTTTGCCCACCTGGCTGGCATCCACACCCGTGGGCACAGCACCCTGTGGGGTGCAGGGAGCTGAGGCAGAGGGTGGTGGGGGCCCAGCATCACCAGCTCTTGCTGACAGCCAAGCAACACTCAGCCCTGGACAAGCCTCTCTCCTGCGTGCCACTTCTTCCCCAAGTCCCTGCTGTGGAGTAAAGCACAGGGACAGGGTCTTTCAGCCCCAGGTTCAAATGATAAGGAAGAGAAGGCGGGGCTGGAGCAGCACAGGAGAGGTGCACATCACCCTGGGCCCCTTTGCCATGTTTGCATCACTGGGTAATAAATAAAACCTCCAAATTCACATTTGCCATGAAAGCCACCAGGATGTGCACAGGCAAAGAAAGGTGCTTTCTCCAGAGAGGGGTAATGACAGTGAGCAAACTCCATGATGAAATGAGGCTGAGGAGGGAGCCTGCACTGGCACAGGGGGCTCAGCAGCCTCTGGGGCAGTTCTCGTGGACATACTGAGCCAAGCAGAGCTGAAGGAGAGGCTGGTGTTAGAAATAGTCCCTGCTGACCATGCCTTTACAGACCACAGATGACTAAGAGTCAGGAGCTAAAACCAAACAGCCCACTATTCACTGGAGGAGTGGGGAAGAGAGCAGGGGAAGTTGTTTCCATTATTTGACCTGAGAGTTTTTCTAGCTGCAGGAAAGACTTTGGCTCTCAGGCCACATCAAGACAAACTAATTTTTTTTTCCCCCTAGGGTAAAGCCAGCTTTTCCCACCGAGCAAGAGCGCAGCCCCGCCATGTGTGCATCCCAAAGGATGCCTGCCAAGACAGAGGGCGACAGGCAAAGTTTCTCCTCCTCATAGCCTACCACGGACATTTGTCCTTGAAGGGGACCTGGGGGGACAGTGCCTGCCAGGGACAGGAGGCTGCTGCAGGGCAGACCAGCAGGCGTGGGAAGGTCAGCAATTTGGCTGAGGCACAGGCTGCTTGTTCCAAGAGCTGAGAGGGTCACAGGCCTTCTCCAAGCACACACCTCCTGGGGGATTTGCCCTTGAGGCACTGACCTGGTTCTCCTGTCCCAGGGAAAACAATTGCAGACTCACATTTATATAGACCATGTCTGCTGCCTGCCATGCCTGGCAGTGGGGGCTGACTGCAAACTACAGACCATTTGTTTCAGCTCAGCCCCTGGGACCCCACAAAAGCACAAGAGAAAGGCATGAGCCCCCCAGAGCTGTGTGAAACACCTGAGTGACGAAAGCATCCCATCCCTGGCTGCCAGAGACAAATTAAGATACCCTGGTTTGAACACCACATCTCATTCTCTGCTCCATAAATAAACCTACCAGGCACATGGCATCCCCTGCACACAGCAGCCCGGGGCAGGTGTTGCAGCTGCCACCAGTGCAGAGAGGAGGCAATTAGCAGGTAGTGAGAAAGCTCTGTCCAGCCCCATTGTGCTAATCCTACCCCAATTAAAGCCCCCTCTTTGCTTTCAGATATTGCTATGAAAGATTATCTACCCTAAAACAAGCAGGTCAACAAGACAAAGCCAACTCTCCGTTTACAAAAGGCTCTGGCACCTGCCTGGGAGCATTTAATTACCCTGACAATGGCATCAAGAGAAGAAGGGCCATGAGACCCCTTCAATCACAAATCCACAGAGGAGGTGCTGGCTTTTCCTGCTGCTCCCACATGCCTGGGGCCAGCACCTGCAGGCTGCAGCCCCTCCCCAAGAGCAGAACCATCATCCAGCCCTCTTAGGGACACCTTTTCTCCCTCAGAGCCTGCAATGCTGCACACGGTACTGGCTTTTTTATGTCGTGCTTTTCCTGTGTCCTTTGCACCGCTCTTAGACCAATAAATGCACATTATAAAAAAACAAAGCAGTGGACAGTTCTAATCTCTAAGTCAACATGTGCCCTTATCACAGAGGGTGGTTCCCACTGGGCAGGCTCAGGCTGTCTTTTATCCAAAAGCACCAACGTGTGCACACGCTGCAGAGCAAATCGGAGGCAAAACTTTCCCGGGCTTTCCAGGCCCTTTTGGAGCAGAGGAGTGAGCAGCCAGGGATTCTTGCAGGACTAGATCCTGCTAGAAAGTACAGCAGGAGCTGCAGGACCCTGCCAGGCAGGCACATGTCCAGCACACTAAGCAAATCACCCTCACCATATCTTCACCTCCCTTCATGGCTCTGTCCAAGGCATTGCACAGAGCTGTTCCCAAGGCTGTTAAGTAACAATAACTTTCCTGCTGGCCTTCTTGACCAAAACACCTCATTGTGAATGTATGTCTGGCTTTCTAGGATTCTAACCACCAAGTCTGGAAGGGAAAAAACCCCAACAACCCTCAGCTGTAGCAAATGCTGATTCAAGAGAAGTGCTTACAAAATTGCACACGAAGCACTTCACAAAGGTGACCTGCCTGGAGGTGCACTGAAAAAGGAGAAAGAGGGGCTGTGGACTACCCTCCAGATACAGCACTCCAGATCAGCATGAGCCAGAACAAAGAGCACCAAGGGAATTCATGACAGGCCCACATTTTCGAGGAAGAAACCCACATGACTGTGTCCCAGCTCCTGTGTTCTCTCCCCGCTGATCTCTCTTCCCTTTCCACTTCCCCTCACTCAAACCCTTGGCCCCCTGTGCCGGGGCCAGTCCATGGGTAGCCACCAAACACACGGGCCTTTTCGGCACTGCAGAGTGAGACGGACCTTTGATGTCCCCCTGCTTTTCAAAGGCCGGTCCTTGGCTATTGTGTTCACATCCTGAGCTTGTTTGTACACTTGCCGGAGGCCCCAGCCCCGCAGCCCCGCTGCCGCAGCCGCCCTGACCCGCAGATAAAGGCAGGCGGGCTCAGGGGCAGAGCTGCTATCGGAGCAGGGACACACGGCCCAGGCTCCTGCAGCTGCCAAGATAGCGGGGACTCTGCCAGGCTGACCCCACAGGGGTGAAGGCTCCAGGTCAACAACAGCCCCACAGGCCTGCACCGGCCTTGGCCGCAGCCGGGCACTTTGCTGTTGGCAGCAGCGGTATCGGTGCCCCGCATGCCCAAGAGTGTCCTGGCACTGCTGCTCTGCCCCTGGAGAGGGCCAGAGCTTGCCAGCAGAGGTAACTGCCAGGCAGCAGGCAACACGAAAGGAAAGGTGCTGAAGCTCTTTGATCATCGCTCATCTCTCCGTGCCCTCTGGGCAGGCACGGAGCGGGTAACAGTCCGCCCTTCTCCCTGTAGGTAAGGTGGGGTGGTGCAAGGAGCACAGAGGGCTCCCCATGACTTGGTGGTTAAAATCTCAGTGAAACCCAGTCTCTGCAAGCAAGGAAGCCTCGCCAAAAGAGCCAGACTGTTTTAGTCCCACTGGGGCAGTGTCCGAGCATGAGCCTCTCTGCTGGGCCTCCACGCAAGGAGGAGCAGTATGAGCAAGCAGAGCAACTTGGTGGTTAAAATCTCAGTGAAACCCAGTCTTTGCAAGGAAGGAAGCCCCGTCAAAAGAGCCAGACTGTTTTAGTCCCACTGGGGCAGTGTCCGAGCATGAGCCTCTCTGCTGGGCCTCCACGCCAGCCCCTGGCAAGCAGAGCAGCAGTAATGAGCATCACTGCATCCACATCCCTCCTTGTGTGATAGGAGAGATGGGAAGATAAGCCTCCACCTTGCACGAAGGCAAAAAAAAAAAATCCCAGAGGATTTTGAGGGGTTGGTCCATGGGATACCCCAGGTCAGCATCTTTATAGGAGCAAGAGCCCACACTGTCCTCAGCTCCACATCTCTCCTCCAGGTGCTTGGTGCTGTCTCCTCTTCAGGCCAGCTGTGGAAAATGAGGAGAGCCAGCCCAGCCCCAGGTGCTTCCCCAGGAAGGATGCAAAGATTAGTGTTCCTTTGAAGGGACAACAATGCTGTGGCCAGCTGTTTTCATTCTCCTAAGTGCCTTTTCCCTCACCTCCTCCACAGCCTCTTTGCTACAGGACAAGAAGAGGCAGCAGATCCTCTCCCACATGCCAGTGCCTGTCACAGTCCCTCTCCTTCCTCAGCCTGCATGGCAGCACGTGTCAGGGCTGTGGCCAAGAACAACAGCTCCCAAACATGGCTGTGGGTGCCTGGATTGCTGGGAGAGAGCAGGATGGAATGACATTCTCCAAGGCAGTATGATGGCTTTTCCTAGAGGATCATACCCAACTACTTTACCCACTTTTTGCCAGCACAATTGAGAAATGCAGCAGCAAAAGCCAAAATATGTAGTCTTCTGGAGGATGGGGATACTCGTGGTGCTGTGAAATTCTTGGCTATTGCACTCTTGGCTAGTGGGACAGGAACAGAGAGGGCAGGCTCTCCTGGGAGCCCTGCCTGCCAGACCTAACCCAGAAGGTTAGGGTAGTAGAGGGGGTGCAGTGATTCTGACACTGAAAGTAAAACTAGATTTCTCAGCTTCCTGGGACCTATAATAGCTGACTTCACCCATGAGGTGCAAGCCATGAAGTGACATAGGAGCACAGTCAGTGTATCCCTCAAATCCAGGAAGGCTGGAGCTGGCACTGCCACTCCTCTGAGTGGCAGGGATCCAGAGGAAGCAGTTGCCTTTCAGGGCAGAAGATCAAAGTCTTTCTTTTGTCTCCAGATGCCTGTTGCCTCTCTGGCCCTGCATCCTGGGGTTCCTGGAGTGCCACATAGCCCCTGTTCCATGGAGTGCACAGCCAATGGGAGCCCTACAACCACCTCCCACCCCACAGACCACTGCATGTCCCACAGCCCTTGACCTCAGCCCAACAGCAGATCCAATCTAGCACCACACTCCAGCACTTGGTTCTTGGCTTTTCCATCCCTTCCAGACTCAAGAGCCATGTTAGTTGCAGTATTTCTTGCCATAGAAGTGTTCAAGTCACCTCACAACATTGTTTGTGATAAGCTGCTGGAAACCAGCTTTTCACAGAATATCCTGAGTTGGAAGGGACCAACAAGAATCACCAAATCCTGCTGCAAAAGTGAAGTGAAACCATATTTTGATGACATGTTCTCAGCATCCCAGAGGAAGGATGCTGACACATCATGAGATATTGTACAAAAGCATGTGGAGTCATTTGAGTTGGGTCAGAGGACTCACAAATCCCCCTGGACTTCAGAGGACATCTACTAAAATAGCCAAATAGTTTGGCTTGCTAAACCACAGTGAGAAGGAACACCCTGGCAGTAACCAATCCTACATCCTCTTTCCTCTTCATCCATTTCCCAATTTTCGCTCTCTGTTCCTCGCAAAGATTTTTGGTTGTTCTGGGCAGCCCGAGCATCTGGGGTCAGTACTGCCAGCAGTACAGGCATCACCGTGTGAACAGCAGGTGTCCCTCAGAGAGGTGGCACTGACAGCCAGCCAGTCATCTGCAAGGTGAAGGGCGCTCAGGGGCACACAACACTGCTTTTGAAGAACACTCATTTTAAGGTATTTTACCGCCAAAACTAGCTGAGGCAGAAAAATATCTGAGTTTCTAGAATAGCAGCTCTGCTCTCTTTTTCCGGGCACGTGTAGAAATGGGGAACCGAGCGCGGCTGAGATTGGGAAGGGCGCACACCTGCAGCAGGCCCGGCGGGGCGGGCCGGGCTGCACCTCCCGCCCCGCCGCCGCCGGAAGGGAGGCCCGGCCTGCCGAGAACGCGGGCAGCCGCGAATCCACTGCCGCCTGCCCGGCCTGCCGAGAACGCGGGCAGCCGCGAATCCACTGCCGCCTGCCCGGCCCGCACCGCCGCCCTGCTGCAGGGAACAGCCGGAGCGCCTGCAGGTGTCCCTCGGTGTGGAATCGCCGCCCTGCGCCTGGCGCGGTGTGCACAGGTAAAGAGCTGAGGGCTTGGGGGGGGAGCCCAGGAGGAGGATAAAAAACAGGGCAGAGCTGCGGGTTTTCCCCCGGGTTATGCTTTCCTGAGCAGCAGGCTGCATCCAGGCTGTTGTGGTGAGAAATGATCGGAGCACCCAGCCTGCAGGGCTGATCTAAACTCTTTCTGAGCCCTCTTATGCTTCCACCAAGGCGCCGGCCAGCACCGTGTACCACGGGTCAGTCACACGCCGGGTGACAATGGTGTTCCCTCCCATGACTGGCATCATCACAGCTGCTGAGGGATGAATCTAGAGCAGAGAGCCTGGCTCAGAGCTCCTCTGGAAAACAGAACTGGCAGGTCCGCCAGCACATCTTGCCTGAGAGACACTTTACAGACTTGTCTCCAGACGTCCACACTGAATTTCAGGTCTGGTTAATCCCCCTTTTATCAGCACAGGAATGTATTGCTTTTCACCAAACGTAATCCGCTTTGCAATCATGTGTTCTGCCAAACTACAAACTTTCTGCTCCCATCCTTCTTTCTTGGGAGAGGATTTGAGGCAATAATCCGGGCCTACTGATTTATTTTTCTAATGAGCAAGGGACAAACGAGCACAGAACTGCAGAACATGCGCACACACGAACCTTGAGGCGATCTGTAGCTGTGACATGCTTTTGAGGGATGCCCTGAGCTGAAGGACTGAGGCTGGAAGCAGTGACCTTCTCCCACGGTGGGCCACAGCCTGTGTCCTGACAGTGGCCACAGCCTGTGTCCTGATGCGGGCTGTCCATACTTCTTGTGTTTAGGGGCTGGAAGTCATAATACCTGCCATGCTTCCCCTTGTACAAATAAAATAGCAATCTGTGCAGCCCAACACAAAAGGAAAGGCACCTCGGGTGTCTCTGCCCATTCAGATGTAAAAAGGTAGCCCTGAGCACATGAGACTTGCTGGGACCTGAGGATGCTGAGAGCCTCCCAAGCCAGAGCAAGTCCTATGTCTTGTTTGCACCACCCAGGGAGGAAAATATTTTTCCTGCCCTCATCCCTCAAAATGCTGAGAGGGTGGGAATGCTGAATCTGTGACCCACTCCTCCTTCTACTGCGGTACAAGCATGCCTTCCCACGAAGAGTTGTTAACCTCATCTCCCTGCCCCACCTCCAGCCCTTCCTGGAGGCGAGCTGGGACTTGGTCTGCACCCAATGAAACAGATGCCACTTAGCTCCATCACCGTACCAAGAGCACCTAAAGGCAATTTATAAAGTGAGCAGCTTCATTCTTTATAAAGGAAGTAGGTTGTAGTGAGGAGGGGACCACTCTCTTCTACCATGCCTACAGTGTGAGGATCGGAGGAAATTGCCTTTAGCTGAGATGGAAGATTCCGATTAGGTATTAGAAAATTGTTAGAATTATTAGAAAATTGTTTTTCGCCGTTTCGGGCACTGGGATAGGTTTCTATAGAGCTGATGGAGTCGTGACTCCTGGCGTGCTTAAAAGGTCACACGGTTGAGCGGTGACAGTGGTGATGCTGGGTTGATGGCTGGACTGGGTGATCCGGGAGCTCTCCGCTATGACTCTGTGCTTCTTCCGCTCCCTGTGCGCAGCAAGGCCAGGCAGGGCACGCGGCCGAGCCGTGGGTGGGCTGTACGGGCGGCGGGACACGGACCCGCAGCGGCATGAGCACCGTGAGCAGCCGCAGCAGCCGGGACGTGCTCAGGAGGCGGAGCTCCGTCTCGCCCCACAGAGGCGTTCCGAGCGTTCCGCGCCCGGGCCAATCTTGCGGCGCCTTGCCTCTGCCACGGGCGCCGCAGTGGAGCCCGGCGCGGCGCTGGAGCTGCTGCGGGTGAGCGGGCGCGGGGCCGGGGCGCAGCGGCAGCCTGGCGGCGCACGGGGCCGCGCCGCATGCGGCGGTGCCCGCGACCTTGACGGGCCCGGCACGGCGGGCACGGGGCAGACGTGCCCGCGGCCTGCCGCCTATCGCCCGCGCCGCTTATCTGGCGCTCCGCAGCCGGGCCCTCGTGGCCATAGCGGAGCCGCCCAGCCCCGCGGCGCGGCTGCTCAAGCGTGCTCGGTTTTCGCTGTTGTTCTTCTCTTCGCCGTGTTGCTGAAAGGTCGGGGCCTGGCTGGAGGGGCTCGGGTCGGCATCCCTACCAGGTGCGATGCCCGCAGGCCCTTTGTGCTTCCCTGCCGGGTCTTGCCGGGTTTCCTTTCAGCAGACCCTCCGCGTGCTCGGTTCGCTCGTGCCCCGGCGGAGCCTGCGGCCTCAGGCTGTCACTTGGGGAAGGCTTCTCGAATGTGTCGGGGTTTCACTTCCAGGTGTTCTTGCCCTAAATAAAAGGTGAAATAAGCAATGGCCACTGTTAACCTTTGATCTCCAAATAAAACCTTGCAGAGCTCCCAGGTGTAGAGCTAATCCACGTGCACCTGAAGACCAGAGCACCTATTAGCGGTGGCGCTTGAGGGCATACTCAGGTTGCTTGCTCGCAACCTCAACACCTGTCTGGTCACTCATTAAATTACAAATCTTTTCCAGGAAGAAATGGAGAAGTAAATGAGTTTCAGTTTACCTTTCAGATATGTTTGCTGTTTGCAGAGAACTTAGAATTTTAAAAGTTGCTGAAATTATTTTGGAAAGATGCTCTTAGTGGTTTTCAGAGACTTTTCAAGACAGAAATTGCCTTCACAAAGTTGATGAGAACATCGCTGTCTAGGAGAGATGTTCATATTAGAAGTGTTTCGTCAGGGGTTGGAGTTTGTGCTGCCTTTGCCTTATGGCCTTGTGTGACTTCTCTCTTCCAGCTAGACTCTTCCCGTCACTGAGACGGAGCCCAGGAACCTTAGATATCTAGAGTCTGTGTTGAGTCTGTCAGTTGAGTAAATGCCTCTTGCCAGCACTCCCTAAATGGAGATGTCCCCACCATTAATAAGACCCTAGGCTGAACTTAGCCATTGGAGACTGTGTTCCTCCTTTGTATGCCTGTCAGTATGCCCTAAGTTCAACAGAAAGAGCTGACTGGAGCTTACAACTGCCATGGGAACCTCTAGGTTGCATTCAAGGTTCATTCATGCAGGTTCACTAATGTGGTGACTTTGGTGGAAGTATGCACAGAAAATCCATGGGCAGGCAGTGCCTTAGTGGCAGTAACTGACCTCAGGTGTGTAGTGTAGTGGCAGGGGAACAGCCTAACCTTGTTGTATTCTGAACTTCCAGGCTTTGGTGAAGTTGGTTTGCATTTGTCCAGAAGGCAATGGATCATGCCAGAGCAGCAATCTCTAATTTGGTAAGACATGGTACCCCAATGCTCTTTGTGTCTTGGTGGGCTGATGATTCTGCAGAAGAAGGGTTCAACAACATCTGTGTATGAGGTTGTATAATATTATTTTTATATTTTTCTGTGCAGTTTGTTATCTATTTGAATATACATGAGTTGTAGAATTGAGTACAGCTGTCCTGTGCAACAGGTGGCTGTGTTGGTGGAACTGTATGAAAGATATTTGATGGATAGTGAGCTATGTTTATTCAAATAAATACCACTACTTATCAGTATTGGAGAAGATGATGAATCCAAAGCAGCATTAGGTGCTGCTGTGTGGGTGCCAAATGTCACTGCAAGTAGCTGGCCATGATAAGGAAGTGGTGCAAGCAGTTCAGTGCTGGTGGGTTTATCGTTAGCTGCTATCGTGTTTTGGGTCTCTGAGGGCTGTTAAGAAAGGGGGGCTGGGCCATGAATAAAGTTGCAGGAGGAAGTGCTGCTGAGGAAGCCCTTCAAATGCCTACTGGGACAATCAACATGTATTCTATTGTTACTTGGGGGGGTGGGAATTCAACCATGAGTCCAGCTTTTGAAAGCAACCTGCGCTTGAAACAATTATGCAGGAACTTGTTCAGCCAAGCCTGCTGGTCCTAGAGAGCTTGGATTGTGAAATGACCCAAGGCTAGAACTGAGAGTGTGGTGGTTTGGTCTCTGAGCAAGAATGGGAGATAAGTAGGGTTGGGGCATGTCCTCTGTGTGAGGACATGCCTCAGGTGTGAGGGAGCCAAGCTGTGGAGCAGCTGAGCAGGGAGAGTGTTAGGACAGACTGCAGTGTTGCCCTTTCTAAAATATGAGAAGGCAGCCACTTCATTGTGGGTGCTGTGGGTCAGAGTGGAACTGCAGGTCTGAAATGGACTCTGAAGACTTGAGTGGGTCTGAGTCTGAACTGTACTGTCAGCCCAAACACTTGCTGCACTGGAGCAGCTGCAGGTGGACCAGCAGTGTTTGGGTTGGAGCTCAGGTGCAGCTGACTGCAAGGACTGCAGGCTGGTGTAGCCAACTCTTCCATCTCTTGACTGCCTTTCCACACAGTTCAGTGGCGAGCCAACATCATACACACGCTTCAGCATTGCCCGGCAGACGGATGGAGACAACAGCCACGTGGAGATGAACCTGGCTGCTGATGAGGAGGAAGGAGGGGAAATTGGGAGGCCAGAGCACCTGCATGCTGGCATGCCTCCTCCACGGAGGAATGGCAAGAACCTCTGCTTTGTAATCATCGCAGCTCTCCTCCTCCTTTTGATTGGTAAGGAAGGGTGGGAGGCAACTGCATGAAGTGGACATTGGTATTGTATGTAATCTGAGGTGGTTAAATTTCAGTCTGTATTGTTTTCAGAGATAATTCAACCACTGGGATCCAGGCAAAGCCTCTTGTCACTAAGTATGTCTAGATCAGACTTAGGGTACAGCACTGGCACAAAGAATTGTGGAGTTTGATTGTGGAGAACTGCAACTTAGTTGAAGGGAAAACTGGTCCATATCATAGGTCAAACATAATTTTGTTTTTCCCTCCATTAACTCCTAACATTTCTGTAGAGATAAGGGTCAACAGATGAGTAAAGTCTTTGGTACTTGTCTCTTAAGGTTTTAACAATGCTGTTGGCCTAAAGTGATCATTTTCCTTCCCAAGTGGCGCTGGAGGGACTCTGCCAAGTGCAAGATCAGATTTACAGTGCCCCTTTAAACATGCCAGCTCAGGCAAAATGTCAGGCTGCATATTTGTCTGTCCTTGGGTAAGCCAGCTAGTCAAAAATGGTGAGAGCAGAGATGTATCTCAACTCTGAAGCTGTGTGGTGGGGTTCAGTCATCTTTCTGCAGCACAAAGAAATACCTTTTCTGTCCACAGGGTTTCTGATCGGCTACTTGAGTTATCGTGGACGAACACAGAGGGTTAACAGGTGTCTGGATGGAAGTGGCAACTGCGAGATGACTCCTACTGCATCATACTTCTCAGATGATGGAATGGAGGAAGAAGAGGTTCCTGGACCACGTATCTTATACTGGCCTGACCTAAGAAACATGTTGTCATCTAAACTGTCAACTGCACGTCTTGAGGCCAACCTGAGGTAACGGTTCCAGAAAGTTTATCTAGAGCTTTGAGAGAGGCACAGCCTGTGAGCAGAACTTGGGCTCGTTTGGAGAATAAGCTTATGCAAGGTGGTGTGTTTTAAACTCAGGCTTAAATGGCTTTGCAGGTTGCACTGCATCCTGGTGCTGTAGCCTAAGCTATATGTATATCTGTTACCTACAGGCAAAGAGAAGGTAAGAATTCTTTTGAAGCTGGCAAGGTGGAAGATGAGAGCACTGCCAGCTACATTCATGACCAGTTCACCAGCTTCCGCCTGGATGACGTGTGGAATGATGAGCACTATGTTAGGCTGCAGGATAAAGGCAGGTACGTTAAAGAAGAGGTGCACATCTCATTCATATAGCATGGATACCTGTGTCTCGAGCAAACATGTGATTTCTGCTTAAAATGATGTGAAAATTGTGAGCCAGTTACCACTCTGCAAAGTCAACCTCAATCTAGCCAAGCAATAACTACTCCTGCCTCTTCTCAGGCTTTCTAAATCCAGAGGGTCTGGAAGCAACACTCTGGATGTTTCCTGGGGCAGCTGTTTCCTCCAAGTATGCTTAGGAAGTGAAGAGAAAACAAACTTGAGTGAAAACTCAGCTGAAAGGCAGATTCCCTCTGTCTAAAACTGCTGGCACAGGTGACTGTCTTGTCACCCAGACAGGGCTGCACACCTGGCAGTGGCTCCTCCAGTAGCTCAGAAGGGTGTCAGTAGGCATTGTGTTGTCTGACAGCTCACTCCCTCATGTCTTACTTGCCCCTTTTTGTCAGGGGAAATGAGTTTGCTCAGCTTCTCTTAGGAGGTGACTGAGAGACTTGGAAGCAGATATTGTTTCTGCTACTGGTCTTAGAAATCAGCCTTTATTAATGTCTCTGACCAACTCCAGAGATTTTTGCATGGAAGTACCTGGGATGAGTTTGCTTGTTTCAGGCTCCATTGACATGACCAGAATTGTTAAGAGCACAGACTGAATACAGTCACAATACTGACCCAGAATACTGAGCTAATTAAGTTCTTGTGTGAAACAGTATAATGCTGTCTCTCTGCATTTAACAGTAGCAAGAACCAAGTGGTCATTGTAGAAGATGGTGAAGAAGTGTTGGAGAGTCCTGATGCATATGTGGCATACAGCAAGAGCGGCACAGTTACTGTAAGTGACTCTAGAAGAATCCTGGAAATATGTCTGTACACTTGAAAAATAAAAATAAATCCCTTTAAGATAGGGAGTGTATAAAGCCCTCCCCAGCTGAGAGAGCTGGGTGGGGTGGTCAGAGTGGGGAGAGAGGAATGGGCCCAGATAACATTCTTACTGCAGCAAGATGTAGGAGTAACTTTAAACTTCCCTGCTGGAATCCAGACAGGAACCTTGGCAGGAGTGCTGCTCCAATGGGCGTCTTGCACTGGATCAGTTTACAGTGCTGAGCTTCAGCTCCCTACTGTTAACAGGAGTCACTGTTACAGTGACTCTGTAGGCTCTTTCAGGTATCTTGCTGACTTTGGACTGCTGCATTCATAACCAGTGTTTCTCTTGCAGGGCAAACCCATCTATGCGAACTATGGACGGAAAGAAGATTTTCAGAAGATACGGAATATGCGTGTTTCAATGGATGGAGCTATAATCATCTTCAGAGCTGGAAAAATAACCCTTGCTGAGAAGGTAAGCAGTGTGTGCCCCAAAGCCTGGCTAGACTTGGCAGCAGGAAGCTATGCTTCCTACTCTTTGAGGTGCAGAGGTATGTCTTTTAGGTCTGTAGAGCTCATGTATGTAGGATTGTTCTGCAGGCCTGGTCTTGCTTGCTTGCACTAAAGCTCCATGTGCAGGTCTGGACACTGAGGCTGAGAGTTTGTTACTGTTTGTGGTGCAATTCTTCTTGGCCTCGGGCAGTTTGCTGGAACAACCAGGCCTCTGGAGTGGTGGGGCTGGGAGCCAGCCTGGGAGCAGAGCTGGCTAATATCACTAGATACAGCCATAAGGCTGCCAGAAGCAGGACAGCCTTGCCTCCAGGACACCTCTTGCTGCTGTAGCAGGATACTTTCAAAGCTTGGCTGCAGTGTGTCACTTGGGCCCTTGCTGACTGTTGAACCATGTAGCAGTGCTGGTCCTGTGTCCAGCTGGTGGCCAAGCATGCTGCTGTAGTGTTCCCTCCATAGAGAGCAGAACCAAATAGCTAAGCAGGCTAAAGCATCCAAGTGTTTCTATATGCAAGCCTGTTCCATATCCGACCCAGAGCTGCTCCTCAAATGGGTGCTTCTGGGGGGGCTGGAGCACAGGACCCTTTGCAGTTGCCTGCAGACAAGGCTGAGTCCATCTGAGACAGGCAGAGCCAGAAAGTGCTTCTAAAAAATGTGGTCACTGGTTCTCCAATCCCATTCCCACTTTCCAAACTGGTGTCTAGCTGTACAAGAGTGTTTGTACCAGTGGCATACCAGAGCTGAGTTGTAGGTGTGTTAAATAGGGACCTGGCTAGTCCATTCTGCCACCATTTTCCTTGTGAAGATGAGCCTCCAGTGGCTGCTTGTCTTGAGACTAACCACATCTGGGGAAAACAGATGGAGTGTAATCAAAATTAAATAATATTACATTTTAAGCTGCTCCAGGGAGCAAGTATGAACTGAAAGAATCATAGACTGAGACACTGTGGTGTGTCATAACTGTTCAAAAAGATGTTAGACACAGTTTTGCCAGGAGTAGGGCTGAGCTGCTGGGATTCAGCTGCCTTGTGTATCTGTCAGGTAGCTGTTAGAATCTGTTGCAGAGTTGGGCACTGAAAAGCACAACCCTTCATACCATTTCTCCATCTTCTTTCCTGGACTCCCCTTGCTTGCAGTGTGCATGTACACTGAATGTTTCTCTTTGCTGCAGGTTGCAAATGCCAGAAAGGAAGGAGCAGTTGGTGCCCTGATGTACCCAGGCCCCTCAAATGACAGGAGGGCAGATTCGTATGTCCCCTTTGGACATGTGAGTATGTAACTCCTTCCCCTGTTTGTTCTTGAGAACCTCTCTGGCTGGGGCTGCAGCCTGGGGCAGTCCAGTATTGCCCTTGTGTAGATCAAAACTGCTGGACTCTGGTGAGACTTGAGGACTGCTCTTGCTTTTCACAGGCCCACCTTGGAACTGGAGACCCTTACACCCCTGGCTTCCCTTCTTTCAACCACACCCAGTTCCCACCAGTGGAATCTTCTGGACTACCTCAAATTCCTGTTCAAACTATCTCTAGAGAAGCAGCAGCCAGACTGTTTGGGTAAGTGTTTCTGCTCTCATGCAGGCTGAGGTGCTGTGGCCAGGAGTGAGGGTGCTGAGAGCTGAGACAGAGCTCTCTGCTGCTCTCTGCTGTGTGTGGCAGAGAGCATGTTCTGGAACTGGCTGGAGAAGAGTCACTTGTGTCCATGTCTCAAAGATTGAACTTAGTCTAGTGTTGGATTCTCTTGGCCTCTGCATTCTACCCCTCCCTGCATAGGTAGTGGTACAGAACTGCAAACTCTCTCCGAGGCAGGCCCTGAACAAGGCTGCACCTGCAGTTGCAGGTGTGCATTTTAAACAAAACAGCTAAACAAGGTCAGAGCTGGACAATGAGTTCAAAGGATCTTCTTTTCCTCTCAGAAAAATGGATGGAGATAAATGCCTTCAGGAGTGGACAGCTGATATCCTGGGATGTAAGGTGACAGTGAGCAGCAGCAGCAAGATGACAGTGAAACTGACTGTGAACAACGTTATGGTGGATAGGAAGATTCTGAACATCTTTGGTGTTATCAAGGGATTTGAAGAACCAGGTAACAGCAGCTGCATTGTGGCTCAGTTTTGAGAGGAACCCTTCCTCTTCTGTGGTCATTGGAATGGGACAGCTGCTCCCAGACAGATGACAGTTCTTTCTCAGCAGAACTAAGGCCTTCCCCTGAGGATCAAAGAGAAATCTGAACCATGCTGCCAGGGAAAGGCTAATGAAAGCATTCAGTGTGCCAGATTCAGGGATCAGACTGCAGACTCTCTTCCTAGTACAGAAGCTGAAAGCTGCTCTTCTCATAAATGGTGTTTGCAGTCTGAATCTTGCAGCTCAGGTCTTGATCTTGTCTCCTTTACAGATCGGTACGTTGTGCTTGGAGCCCAGAGAGACTCCTGGGGACCAGGAGCAGCCAAGGCTGGAGTTGGCACTGCCATCTTGTTGGAACTTGCCCGCGTGATCTCAGACGTGGTGAAAAATGGTAAATATTTGTGAACAAAAGCATGAGGGTGGGAGGTGATGCAGGTCTAGCTCTCTTTGTGTAACATTGGAGAGCCCAGTTCCAAAGTAGTCCTTTAGAAGGTTTAAGGAATCTGACAAAGCTTCCTGAGAAGCTATTACTTGTGCAATGCAACTTGTCTGCAGTGAGCATTCACTTCTAAGGGACTGCCTGCCTCTGTCTGGCATGGCTCAATTACCAGCGTGTCCTTGGATAACACGGGATGCAAACCTTAAACTTGAGCTGTCTGTTGGACTGCCAGGCCCAAAGTGGGAAAACTCTGAAGCATCTGACCAGCTGGAGCAGTGGGGACTGCATGGTGGCAGCTAGTGTGAGCACACTTGTCTCCAGGGTTAATTTTGGGCTCAGGCAGCTAAACAAAACAGAGTGGAAATGCAGACAGCATTGTTCTCCTGCGCAGTTCTGCAGCGTGTGGGGGCAGGGTACAGTGTCCATGCAACGAGCACATTTCTCTGCAGCAGCGCTGTCTGAGGAGCAGGCAATTCATCATCCCAGGCCCGCAGTGCTCATCTGCATCTCCATGGGGAAAGGGCAGACCTCTCAGTCTCTGTCTCTTTACAGATGACTACAAACCACGGCGCAGCATTATCTTTGCTAGCTGGAGTGCGGGAGAGTACGGAGCTGTGGGTGCTACCGAGTGGTTGGAGGTATTGATTATTTAATAGACTTCTGCAGGATGGCTGTGCAGTTTTTCCTGTGGATTAAACATTGGACTGCTACTTCTCATTATTAAAATGTTTGTTTTGTTCTAGGGATACTCCACCACGCTGCATGCCAAAGCCTTCACTTACATCAACTTGGATACTGCAGTCCTGGGTAACCTGCTGCTCTTTCAAGTACTTCTTGAAATTGGGTGGGACTAGAATAGCTATATAGAACATATATCCCTTAATATAGAACAGATATCTCTTAACTTCTAGGAATGGGGGCTGTGCCAGGAGGTGACTGGAGAGTGTTTGGCTGAAGATTGGCATGACTCTATTTATTCTCCTGCTGTCATTGAAGCTGGGAGGCTGGTATAGCCTAAGCCATGAGGAGTCAACTCTCCTAAATCCCAGTAGACTGTCCTGTGTCTGTTGAAGGTCCTTTGGCAACTGTAGCTGCAGATCAGGGGTTGGCAGCTCTAGCAGTAGTGTTGATTGTGCCAGTTATGTGAAATACCCTTTCATTTTTTGCAGGCTCCAAAGACATAAAGATTTCTGCTAGCCCGTTGCTGTACTCATTGCTGGAGACAGTTATGAGGAGGGTGAGTTAAAGGGCATTGATCTGATCAAGGTGACTGTGGTTTTAAGGAGGAACTGAAAGCAGACAGAGCTGTGCTGGGTCTCTTTGCCTACTTGACAGGAGAAAGACCTATTTAGGAGAAATAAATGGGATTCTGAAGGGGCCCTGTCTGAAATCAACTGCGCTCTGGGAATTGCAGTTCACACATGCAGAATCTAAAATCAGCAAATGCCACAGTTCAGTGGCAGATATGCCAGTGTAGAGAAAGGTCAGGGGAGCATGCTTGACTGGCATCTGCACATCAGTGTAAGCTCCAGGATGGAGCTGGGAGCCCAAGCAGATGTCAGAACAAGTGCAGTGATTCCCATCTCTGTGCAGGTAAAGGACCCCGCAAACGCTTTGGATAACCTGGGTAACAGAGTTGGCCTTGACTGGATAAAGAAAGTGTAAGTATTGTCATCTATCTCTTTGGGAAAGCAGATCTCCATAAAGGAGCAAACAATATGGATTCTGCTGGAGTGTCATACTGCTGTCTGGGGTGGGCTCTACCTTCTGTGGGGTTAGGCAGGTGTTAACAGTACTGCACTAACTGTGCTGCCCCAGGCTGGCTGAGGCAGCCCAGACACCTTCCTGCAGGACAACAACGGCCTTGTACCAAGGCCAGTGGCAGGGAATAGACAAGTAGGACCAGGGATTTGGTTGGGACTCCTTCAGTCTTGTCTAGAGTTCTCTTGGCTCAAAGCTTCAATTGTAGAGCTTGCAGCTTTTCTCCTGGGGTGCCCAAACTACTTGGTAACTACTCAGTGCTTATTTTCTGCAGTGTTCCCCTTGATCTGGATAATACAGCGTACCCTTTTCTGGCCTACTCGGGAATCCCAGTGGTTTCCTTTGGTTTCTACGATGTAAGTAATGTGTGCTTGCCTGGTGTGCTCATTCCATGCAGAGTGCTGTAAGGACATCTGCTTTCCAGGACGGTGGGGCAAAAGGGGCTGTCTGAGCTCAGTGTCCTTGGAAGAGCCTCTCAGAGGGAGGAGGTGCAGCCTCTGGACCTGGTGGCTGTGGCAGTACTTGCTGTCAAGACTGCTCCTGGGACAAGGCTGGCCTACAGCTTCTGTTCCAAAGTACTGAATACTTGCAGGTTTTGGGGGAGAGGGGTCACTTGCTTCTCTGGAGGCTCAGATGTCAATGAATCAGAAGCTAAAAGCAACATAAAGATGTCAGTCTGTTGCTGCATCAGTGAAAGGCTGTTCTACAGCCTGCTGGTCAGCAAGCAGAGGGCATTGTGGAAGCGATATCACTGCCCTGAGCAAGTACTGAGCAGAGCATCCTGCTGGTCACTGGAAGCTGTCAGGGATGAGATACAAGAGCTCCATTCCCTTCCCAGTGCTTTGGAGTTATGCCACTTGAGTCTGTGCTCCTTAGCAGCTCAGGGAGATAGGATGTGGTGGGCATAACAAGTAACCTTTGGTGGGGGATGAAAAAAGTCTTGACTGGAAAAAGCATTCTTGGCTAACTTCAGTACCTTCTTTCTTGCAGGAAGGTGACGAGTATGCCTTTTTGGGCACCACTGAGGACACTTTGGCCAACCTGAAAAGGAAGACTGACAACTTGTATTCTCTCATGCTTACTGCTGCAGAAGTTGCTGGACAAATAGCTCTCAGGCTGACCCATGACCATGAGCTCTTTCTGGACATTGATCGATACAGTGACGAATTGCTGTCATTCCAGGAGAAGCTTTGGCACGTCAATGCCAATGTGAAGGTTAGAAGGACTCTGAGTTCACCAAATCCCTGAATGATTATGGAGCCATGTGCTAGTAAGGCCCTGTGCCAGTAGATACAACAGGATGAACACCTTTCCCCTTTAGACATAAAAGGGTAGCGAAGTGTGACCAGAATCAATGTTCCTTATAGAGCAGTGCAGGCAGAGTAGCTCTGGCAGACAGATTTAGCTGATGTGGATGCCATGAGCTCCTGAGGAAATGGATGTGAACAGTTTTTTCTCCAGTTATCATTCACAGCATAGTGCAGCTTTCCATCTCATTTGCACCTTTGCTGAAAATTCACAAGAAACTGTGGGTAGGGAATGACCTCAGAAGAGCCTGCCAGGAACTTGTTCTGCTACTTGGCTAAACTGCCAAAAAAAAAAAAAAGCCCAACACTTTCTTTTGCTAAGAGAGCAGCAAAAGAAGAAAATCAGGTTTGCTAACAGCTCCTCCCTTGCAGGAACTGGGGCTGACCTTGAACTGGCTGTATTTTGCCCGTGGAGACTTCCAGCGAGCTGCAGATGCACTGAGAAGAGACATCGAAAACAGTGACAGGGAAAACAGGATTGTCCGCAGAGCCCTGAATGACAGGATGATGAAGGTGGGTATCTTCAACTGGTTTTTCTTCCTTCACAAAGGAAGAGAGTGCTGGCTGGGATGGGCCTTTCCCTAAGGGCCGTGGGCACTGTGCAGACTGGTGTCTCTTCCACTTGCTTAGTGGCAACATGATGGCTTGCTATGAGAGAGGGTAGAACTGCTGTGGGAAAGGGCTGAGTGGGGATCAGAGGTTGGCAGCTTGTGTTGGGGCACATCAGGAAAGAAAAATTTGGGAGGTGATATAACCCTCTGTTTGCACCTCTGCTCAGGTGGAATACGACTTCCTCTCTCCATACCTCTCACCAAAAGATACTCCCTTCCGCCACATCTTCTTCGGCAGAGGCAAACACACCCTGAAGAGTCTGCTGGAGAACCTGGAGCAGCTGGCAGTCAACAAGACCAGCGTGGATCTGAATGAGCTGAAAGAGCAGCTGGCCCTGGCGACCTGGACCATTAAAGGGGCTGCCAATGCTTTAGTGGGTGATATCTGGAATACAGACAACGAAATCTAGACACAGCAAACACCTGGATTACCCGTCTAAGGTACAGGAGAGCTGTGTGCTCTCACAGGGAGCACAGCTTCCTTCCTGGCCCTGGTCCCACCAGAGGGCCTTGCTGTGTAGATCTAGTTCCACCTATAGCAACACACACCAACTCCCTGTACCTCAGATCAGGTATTGGCATGATTTTTAAATGGCAGCTTCTTGAAAATTTCCAGTACCTTACATGTCGTAAAACCTAACCAAACCCCCTGAAACCTAAAGTGAAACCCACTCCCTAACATGGCATTACTTTCCTGTAGATATTCTGGCAACAAAATGTTTTTGACCAAAGTTGAGCATAAAATTTAAATCTCACCTTGACAAATTCAAAGGAGACAGTTTTAAAGCAGTACTGAGATTGCCATGAAGTCTCCTCTGACCAGGCTCCCACCTAACTTCAGTCCAAACCAGTCATGTACAGCCGCTCCAGTGTACTTAAAAACTAAGAGCTCAGGTGTTTCCTGAACTGGTACCTTGAGTGGGGAGGTACCTCATCTATTCAGGCTTTTAATTGTTGGCCACCTAAACAGTGACAAAACAGGAATGTATTCCTCTGAACATTTGTAACAAGGATCCCTTCTCCGGCAGGGAGGTGCAGTTCAGAAATTAAACAATGTAGTAATAGCCCGCAAGTGCTGGATTATCAGCCAGCTCTGAAGTGCCTGCCTGCCTTTACTCAACAGCAGGGTCCCAGTGACATCTTGCAGGCTTGCTTCTGCCAAGGTAGGTATCGATACCCAGGGAAAATGACCCAAAGATTATCCAATGTCCCCTTGATATCCTCGGCTGGCACCTCAGCAAGTTCTGCAGCAGAAATGTCTTTAGACTGGCACTTCAGACCTTGCTGCTTCAGGGGCCTTGTGTGAAATCGAGTCTCTTGCTGGCCAAACTCTGTTTGACTGATGTCATTTTGCAGGTTGGCTCTTGTTTGGCACTGAGATATTTATTTCTTTATTTATTTATCAGTGACAGTGTTCACTATAAATGGTGTGTTTTTTTTATAGAAGATAATTATCGGAAGCAGTGCCTTCCATAATTATGACAGTTATACTGTCGTTTTTGAATAAAGCAGCATCTGCTATTACAATCAAACATGATACTGGAACTTTGCATTTAAAATAATCAAAACAAGAACCTCAAAAAGTTTTGGAAAACTAGCAATTAAGCTTTCTGTGGCAAAAACACCCCTCTGGAAGCAACTTGAAGGTGCAAACCTGGTAGTAGTGAGTCTCCAGGTTGCGCTCCGAAGTAATCCTTGAAATGCTGAAAACCTGGGTGGAAATTGCAATACTAGAAATTTGTCTTCCTTGCAGGGTCTGTGCCCCTTTGTGGGCTTCAGACTTTTCCTGCTCCCCTTTCTGGATGCTGTGTGCTCTCACAGGGAGCACAGCTTCCTTCCTGGCCCTGGTCCCAGCAGAGGGCCTTGCTGTGTAGCCCTAGTTCCACCTGTGGCAACACACAGAAACTCCCTGTACATCAGATTAGGCATTGGCACGATTTCTAAATGGCAGCTTCCTGCAAACTTCCAGTACCTTATGTATCATGAAACCTAACTGACATTATCGGGGGCAGTGTCTCCCATAATGTGTAAAGAACAAGGTAGTTTTTGCCTACCACAGTGTTATATCGGAGGCAGTGACCTCCATATGTTGCACTATGGGTGTACGTAATTATCGGGGACAGTGTTTCCCATAATTGTTCTATGCTTATCACGCAATGTCATCTGCGAAGCTTGATGGTTAGTATCTAACATGGATTAATTTCCTGCAGTCCTGTTTTTTCACTCTCCTGTGGTGATGCAGATACAATCTTCAGTCTGTTGTGTACATCCTTAGACACTTCCTTCTCCATAGGCTGAACTGTTTCAAATAGCTGTGCTGTCTTGAATTGGCTTCCTGCCTTCAGTCACAAGAGTGGCGCTTGAGTGTTTAGTGGAAACTAGGCAAGTTAGACTGTGTGCTCTGTGGTGTTGTAAACTTCCTTCAAATTAGTTACAAAGACCTGAGGAATTAAAGGTGAATGTAGGGCTTGGGGCTGACAGCTGTGTGGAGGGCTCTGGTCACTGCTCTGCATGGGTACATGTAGCACTTGGAGAGGCTGGCTTGCTGTGGCACTAGGAGGGTGCTGGTGTGTGTGCATGGGCTGCTCACTCTCCAGTTCTGGCTGGAAATTCCAGTCTTGCCCCCTTGGGTCTTGAATGGAGAGAGGAAAATCAGTGTCAGCTTGCTAATGGTGCTGCTCTGCTGTGTGACCTGAAGCTGAGCACTGCTGATGTGTGACACCTGCTAAACTGTGCTGCCTGTTCCCAGGGGCTGTTGCCTGTACTTTGCAGTTTGATTTGGCATTTACACCTAACCCGCAGCTTAGTTTTAACCTAAACTCTGCAGTGTGATCTGGCATTTAAACCTAACCTGAGCGAGTGACCTGAGCCCCAGCAGTAGTCCTTGAGGGAAAGAACACTGTTCAGCTGGAGCTCTGCAAGGAAAGGGCAGGGACTGGCCCCCAGCCTAGTTACTGAGCTCAGTGCTCACCAGCTTGGAGGGCTGGATTTTCATCGGTCTCTAGAAACCTGATGCCCAGGCTTGTGCAACTTGTTGCTCTTCCTTAACTTCTCTTAACTCTCTAACTTCCTGCAGCCCTGTCTGTGTTAGTGTTTTCTCTGACATTCTAGTTTCTAGTGACATTTCTCTGGATGGCATCTAAGAGCTGCTGTCTCGGAGTCCTCACTGTGGTGTTTGCATGCATCTCGATGTCAAACTTAATTTTGTGCTTTATAGCCAGCAGAGAGAGACAAAAGACAAAGCTTGTCTCCTGGATAGACAGCACAGCTGTGACTACTGGGATGCCTTGCTCAGTGCTGGCATCTGACTGCTGTGGGGTGCTAAACTGTTTCTGGATTTACCTGCTGTTTGCTTGGATAAAGTATTTTTGAAGCTTGAACACTCAGTTTGTCTTGTGAGGTTCTGGATTACCTGCTGTCTGCTTTAATAAAGATGTTGAAGTTTGAACACTCACCTTCTCTTGTGACTTCTTGCAAAGCCATGATGCTGTTGTGGCATTGTGGTCATGGGGGAGCTTGGGCAGCTGGAGGGAGGCTGTTGTCCTGATCCAGCAGGGCTGCTATGTAGCAGCTCCAGTATCACTTCCTTGATGTGCAGTAGCAAATCTGAACTTCACAGTGCTGCTCAGCTGAGTCCTGCCTTATCACAGACAACTGCAGGTTCTGGTAATGAGGTGGAGGAGCACAACTGTATGCAAGCCCTCCTTTCATGTCTTACTTCCTGCCTCTCCATCGCAGCATTGACTCTGTGCTGTATGGGTGAATGATGGGAGAAGGATGAAATGTCATGTTTCCCCCTGGCCATGGCCTTGCAGGTTTCTGCTGTTGAGAAGGTGGCTGGAGAAGCCTGTCCCAGGAAGCCAGCACTTGCTCCTGCCATTTCCTGCCCCTCATAATCCTGGAGGTCCTGTGGGCCAAGGTAGAGATGCAAGTGTGGATACTGCTTAGAGCCTGGGGCAGCTCTGGGAGGGCAGGAGCAGCCTCAGCCCCAGAGGCCTGCTCAAGTGAGACCGCACGGTTTTGGGGCTCTGCATTAAAATAAGTTCCGTTTCTCTCTGCTGTCCTCCCCCGTCCTTCATGCCCGTCTCACCTTGTGCTTTACAAACACCACATCCCTTGAAATCGCACTGTGAGCGGCAGCTTCTCCAGGATCCCAGCTCGCGCTTTATGGGCTGTCCCGGCATAGCTCTGGTCCCTCCTCTTCCCCCGGGGATGATTTACTTGTTGGAAGGACGTCGTTTCCCGCAGCTCCTGCCCGCGCCTGGCAGGGCTCTCTCCCTGCGGTAACTCTGCAAAGTGTCCCGAGAGGCCGGGCCAGCGGGAGCCCTGCAGCGGCCGGGCAGCGCCAGCCCCGCCGGGGCACAGGGAACGGGTACAGCCCCTTCCCACTCACCTGGGAGCAGGGATTTTGGCAGCGCAGGGCAGCCGGCGTCCCCGGTGCAGCGGGTCCGTCCCGGGGCCTGGCGCTGCTCCGCGGTGAGTCTGCCTGTCCGTGCGTCCATCCCCGTGCTCATCCATCCGCTTGTCCGTCTGTCCGTCCTCACCCCCGCCGTTACGTAAAGCAGCGGGGCGGCGCCTTTAAGAGCGGGGCCGGGGGCGGGTCGGGGGCCGTCCGGGCTGCCGGCGGCGGCGGCAGGAGGAGGCGGGGGGGCAGAGGGGAGGAAGGGGTGGCGGAGCCGGAGCTGCCGGGGCGCGGCGCGGGGGGGCTTCCCCAGCGTGCGGGGCCGGGGTGGGGCCCGCACCGCGTGCACCATCCGGGGGCAGGGGGCGAGCAGGGCGCCGGGGGTGCCGGAGGGCGGGGGGTTGAGCCCGGCGGTGCCGGAGGGCGGCGGGGTGGCCCCGGGGGTGCAGGAGCAGGGCGGCTTCACTCGCGGCGTGCAGGAGGCGGGGCTGGGGGCGCTGCCCCGCGGCCAGGAGCTGGTGGCCGGCGGCGGGGAGCCGAGGGGCGGCGGGGGGCCGGCCCGGTGGCACTGGGTGCCGCTGGGCGAGCGGACGAGCCTGCAGGAGTGGGGCGAGCGGCCCGGGCCCGTCACCGCCCTCGGCAGCCCCAAGGCGGGCGCGGAGCCGCGGCGGCCCCGGAGGAGCACGGCCCCAAGGTCCGGCAGGAGCAGGGCCTGGCCCGGCGGGCGCAGCAGGAGCGCGGCGGGGGGCGGCGGGACGCGGCGAGCCCCCCGGCCCGTGCCCGCTGGTGGGTGCGGAGGGGCCGGCAGGAGGAGGGAGAGGCCCGGGGCGGAGTGCAGGAGGAGGGCGAGCTCTACCCGGGGGAGCAGGAGCACCCCGGCGGCAACCCCGGCCCGCGGACCCCGGCGCACCGCCTGAGCCGCAGGAGGTCCGCCCGGGTGTGAGGCCGCAGCCCGCGCCCGGTGCCCGCTGCCCCGGGGGCGATCCCAGCCGCGGCCCGGACGTCCCCGGCGTCGATCGCCGCACCCCGCCCCGGCAGGTGTGCGGGCTCGTCTCGCCTGGCATGCCGGCTGTCTGGAGTGCCGCCGTGCCCGTCCTCGCCCTCCGGTGACGCTGCAGACTCGGCGCAGGATGCGGTGGCAGTGGCGGTGAGCGCACAGGTAAGGAGCGAGGCGCGACCCCATGGCTGGGGGTGCTGTGAGAGGGGCAGGGGCGTTCAGAGCTTGGCACGGTGCTGCTGCCCGGTTGACAGCGGAGTGTGCCGGTGTGTTGGCACCGTGCCCCGCACTGCTGCGAGCTGCGGTGCTTCCCTCGTGCCCGAGCACTGCGGGACTGCTCAGTCGCGGCCGGCAGCAGGCCCGGCCTCCTGCTCCAGCTGCCAGGGCACAGCAGGGTCCGCTGTGAGTGGGTGCCTGGTGCCCTTGAACTCTCCTAAACCACAGCGGAAGCTGGGGGAAGTTTTTTCGTTGTTTTTTGTTGTTTGTTTTTTTTTTTTTCCTGGAGAAACGGCAGCTTTGCTCTTCCTCTTCCCTGGGCACGTGGGAGCTGTGGCACTGAACAGAGGATCCTTGTCCTCCGGGGCCAGCACCGTGCCTCGGGTGTTGTACTGCAGCCGAAACCCCGGGCAGCAGTGAGGTGCAGGGAACCTCTGACCCCTGGCCCAGCATGCAGCATCGTGGCTGTGTCTAGCCGTGTTGTGGCAGTTTTTCTCTGAACAGTCCAGGGCCGTTTGGAACCTTTGGTCTTTGTTGGTTTTGCTTTTTAAAATAAAAGTTTTTAAGTTAAACTTGGTAAGGTGGTGCTGACAGTCCAGACAAGGATCCCGCCATGCCAGGCAAATCCTGCTCAGCTTCTCACAGTATGATTAGACCCTTTGCCCACTCTGAAGCAGCAGCTGGGAGGGAGGTTTGGAGGTAGCCAGAGGAGCCCAGGCAGGGACAGTGTCTCTGGCAGCAGTGCTGGGGCTGGGCTGTCTGGGCAGGACAGGCTGGGGCAGAGCCTGGCGCTGGCACTTCCCCACGCCCTCACCTCCTGGGGCCACTTGGTGCAGCGGGTACACCGGGGTGTCCCAGTGCTGCTGGGCTGTGCACCGGCTCAACACCTTGCAAAGGGTGTCCCTCTTGCCGGGTGCTGTGGGCTCTGGAGGTTGTGCATTCCCCCCTCTTACTCAGCTGTTCATTGAGCTGGCTCAGGGAAAAGCTTTCAACAAAATGTTTGGGCTATGGGCTTTGCAAAAGACTCCTGAAAACAGGGCCTGCCTGGTGAAGTGGCTTTGAGCAGGTCTGTGCTACCAGGCACTCCTTTAGGGAGAGGGTCCGGGACAGACCCTGGGTGCTGCACTCCCATGCTCAGCTGCAGCCCTGCTCCCACGGCCAGCCCTGAGCCCACAGCTGCCCGCAGGGAGTGGGGGGCAGAAGCAGCTTCCGCATCCCCCGTCGGGTGCGCCGAGGCCTGGGGGTGCAGGTGGGAGCTGTGCAACCTGTTACCAGCCCCTGGAGCTACCGGAGCCTCCTCAGCCAGGTATTCCTTAGTGCGGGGTGGGGTGTAGTGGGTATGGCTGGGGGGCTGGCAATGCCTTCCTGCCCCTCAGGCAGCTGCCAGCCTGCTCTCCCACTGTGACTCAGCCTCCCCGGGGCAAGGGGGCCCTCATAAGCAGAGGAGCAGCCCCCAGAGGACCATGAACTACTGTGAGTTTGTAACCGAGCCCTGTCCTAACTAACTGCAGGCTCGGCTTGACACCGTGCCTTAGTTTCCCCCCAAGAAGTCCCATCCTGCCCATGGAGCTGCCTGGGTTTTGACTTCAGTTGTGTCCATGAGGGATGATAGCAGTCAGGGGCAGAGTGTCCTGGGGAGCATTGCCCACTTGTATGGGTTTTGGGGGACAGGAGGAGGCTCTGCTTCATGCAGACTGTGCCAGGATAAGGGAGACTTAGGAGAAAGTCTTGTTCTATCCCTTTGCTGAGCAGCCCTGGGGGAGGGCCGCTACTCCCACTGCAGCCTGGCTAATTAGGGAGCTGTCAGTTAGTGCTAATGACCGCAAATACTGAATGGTCTGGCTAGGATCCTGTGCTGCTCTGGCGCTGGGGAACTGCAGGGATTGAGCCTTCATCCCCCCCCTCCCCCTTCCAGCTTTAGGGGTCCCAGCTTGCCTGCTCCCAGCCCAAAGGGGAGATGCTGCTGTGTGGGTGTAGCTTGTGCCAGTCTGGCCTGAGACCTGACAAACTCGTTTTGTGCCAGCTGCAGCCTGGCCCAAGGACACATCCTGTACTGGGGTGGAGATGGGGGTACTGCTGGCAGCACCCCCGGGGTGAGGGGCAGGTTGGAGCAGGACTGGGGGTGTGTCCTGGTGCCCCCTTCCCTGGCAGGACTGGGGGCAAAGCTGTCCTGTGGGGGCAGGTCCACAGAGGCTTGGCAGAGCGGGTCATGACTCTGGATGCAGAGACACTTCTCATACCTTAGCCCTCAGGAAGTGTGGGGTGGACAGATGGGAGTGCCAGGCAGGGGTGCCCATTCTGAGTTCTCCCACTTTGCCCCAGGGGGGACCCTGTGACCAGTGTCACCTGAGCCCTGGCGTTTTGCCACCTTGCACAGTGCCCGGTTCACTGTGACACGGGCTGGCACTGCTAAGGGAGCCCCACAGTGCTGTCCCTGTGGCCCAGGTGAGATCAGTGTGGGGGGCTGGCAGGCACAAACCAGCCTTGCATTGGGGCAGGGTGACAGGGTCCCTACAGTGGCAGTGACACCAGGGCTCAGTGATGCCAAGCCTGCTGCCCTCTCCGCCTCCCCAGCAATGAGGGTGCCAGGGACTGTTGTTTTGCGTGTTTGTCCCCCAAAACACTGCACTGTGACCCTGCCATGACGGGAGAGCTTGGGGCTGAGGTGAGGATCAGTTATGGGTCAGCAATTGCTGCCCATGCCCGCGAGCTGGGAGGTGCAAGACAAGCTAAGCCCGCCCCAGCTCGGCCTGCAGAGCGGATTTAGCCGAGGAAAGAGGCTTAGGGAGGGGATTGGGGCTGTGCTGGGATGGGGGGGCCCCCCACGTGCCTGTGTCTCTCCTTCCCACGCATCCACTGCTGCAGGCAGGGGCTCAGTGCAGGGGATGCTCTGTGCTGGGGGACAGGGGCAGGCCATGGGGCCAGGCTCTGGGAGCCCAGAGATGGCAGCGAGGAGGAACCTGGCACCTCCCCGGCCTCCGCTGCCACAGGGGTCACCAGCCCTCCGCGCTGGCCCCCCGAGACCTCCTGCTTGCTCCATCCAGCCGACCAAGCAGCATCAGGTGCCAGCCCCGAGGGAGGTAAAGCACCCACTGGTATGGGGGTACGTGGGGTGGCACAGTCCAGTGAGGGGCTGGGGACAGTCCCCAGGGAGCTGGGTGGCAGCAGCATCCCACGCATGGGCAGGATGCAGGCGGCAGCCGTGCCTCTGGTGGGAGCGGGGTGTGTTTTTACGCGTGCATGTGTGTGTGTGCCTGCACACCTGCGCCGTGGCAGCCGGGCTGGGGAGTGTGTCACCACAATTTGGGGCCGCCCTCGGGGCCCTGCCAGGGCTGAACAAGCCAGCCCGGGGTGACGGTGCGGCTGCCCTGCCGCAGTCAGTGAGATCACTTCCAGGCGACACAGCTGCCAGGAAGGTGGCAGGAAGGTGGCAGGCGGGCTGTGACAGTGAGCACGGTGATGTGATGGAGGTGAGTGGGGGACTCTATCCTCCTGTGGGAGCTTGTTTTGGGGACCCAGCACTTTCTGGTGCCCTCGGTGGGGGGTGGTGGGCATAGGGGATGCTGTGGCACTGATCCCAGGAATGTGGGGCCAAGTGTGGTGTCCCATAGGGCTGAGGAACGCCAGTGTCCCCACAGAGGGGAGGGACACCTTGTGTTCAGTGTTACTGTCACTCCCTGGAGGGTAGAAGACAGTGCACCCCATCCAGTGGTTATTGTGGTGGGACCCCCCTCAGGGTGGGAATTGCAGGGAGGTGAGTCCAGGCTGGCAGGGCACAATGCCGTTTGTCCCCTTGTACCGTACCTAATCATTTTGGTGTCAGTTAACCCTGGGCAGGCCAGGACCCGACGTTTGTGGGGGGGTGTGACCCAAATCCATGCCCAAGGCTGTGTGGACAGGGGCTGTCCCTACTCATCCCCACAGCATCGCCTTCCCTGGGCAGGCTGGCGAGGGTTTTGGGGCAGCGCAGGGCGGCCGGCTCCGGAGGGAAGGTGGCATAGCACGTGCATCAGTCACCGTGCCGCGGCGTGCCAGCGCGGTGACGCCGGCGGGCCGAGCGCGGGGGCGGCTCGCTGCTCCCACGCCGCGGGCCCGGCCCGCCTCGGCTCCGCGGCTGAGCTCACCTCCGTGGTATGGCAGGAGGAGTCGCCGAGGGGCTGCTCCCGCCCGGCGCCCCCGGGACTGGGGCTGTTTGTTTCTCCCCAGCAGAGGGAGGGGAAGCGGGGCAGGACACGCTCTGGCCCCCCTGCCTTGGCGCGTTGTCACTCCTGGTGTCGCTCCTGGACTCGCAGGGCTCTGTGGGGAACGGTGATGGTCGTGGGGGTGCTTCTGGGGGTTCATCATTCCCTGTGGCGTTGGCATGAGGAGCAAACTGGTCCCTGGGGGCTCTGCTGTGCCCCAAAACACAGGCAGGTCACAGGGGTCTTTGAGGGGGCTGCAGCCCCACCCCTGCCACCCCCCGGGTTCAGCCTGCTTGCGGCTCTGCTCCGCAGCCTGGGCAGCGCTGGGGCACAGGCCGGTGCCATGTGCAGGTGGGGGGTTCCCCATCCAGGGAGCCGTTTTCCTGCTGGGGGCTGTGCCAGCTGCGGCAGCGCCTGGAAAAGGTCTAGGAGACCCCCAGCCCCGTCCGAGGGGGTGGGGGGAGAGGATTGATCCTGGATTGATCCTTCGGTCCCCCATCCCAGCGGCACCCCCGGGGCCTGGCTGCCGTGCCAGCCCTGCCGTGCTTGCGCCAGCGCTGCCGGTCGCTGCGGAGCAGCCATCTTCCCGGTGCATCCCATCCCCCTCTGCCTGCGCAGGGAAGCGGGCGGGATGCTGGGGATACTGCCAGCGCCAGAGCCCCCCCACCCCGCTGCAGGTGCTTCCCTACCCATCCTGCCTGCTGTAGAGCCCCGGCTGCTTGACGATGGTCCCCCCTCATCCTCCTCCTCCGCCCGGCTGCCTGGTGCACCGTGCCGGGGTGCGGGGAG